CGTTTTTGTTCGAAGTCTCTTCAAAATATCACCGCGCTGTATAAAACTCACAGTCGTCAAGGTGTAGCAATTAAGCTCGTTGAAACAGTTACAATCTTCGGGCAGGGTTAATTTAATGGAAAAGGTTTCTTTTCCCTCGCTGCAGCAACGAGGCGGGAAAATTTCCTGGCGTCGTTTCAAATCATTATGACAGCAACGGCCAAGACTTGCTGAGGTTTAAGTATAAAGTTGAGTACGGGTAAAGACTTTTACTCCCTTATTAATAAACGAGGCATAAGTTTAGACTAGTTACACCGTGTTTTATTCCTATCACTCAAATGCCATTTGTCATTCAATGAACAAGGCAAAACATGGATTAACCAATCCAAGCTTAAATCTATAGAAAATATAACTAGAAAAAATATATATACAGAGTGTAAAAAAACCCATGATAAAGACTAAAACTATGCATTCTGTACACCCAAACAAGTCATATTACAAAATATTATACGTGGGAAAATTTTGTATAGAAAATACATTTTTTTTTCTCGTACGCAATGTATAGCGGCTACTGTGGCGCTACGCAAAGAATGTGCCTGTGTGTTGTAAGGGTGTAAGTGCGTCAATAAAAAAGTTTCTTAATAACGTTTTGAAAATATTAATGTATGAATCTTGATAATAATAAAGGAGACCCGGCACTTTTCATAGAAAAAATGCTAAACTTGTATACAGTTAAATTTGGTCTCAAAATAAAGCCAAAATTATTTGCTACATAAAACTACTTTTGGCATATTTTTAGTGAATCGTGGAAAGAAATTATTTAATTATTAATATTTTTTGATATAGAAACCCTTTTGATGACAAACCTACGTATTGGACATTGACAGCTAGCTGCTGATGACAAATATTGCCAGACTACGTTACCCAATTATGAAACACAGATAAAAAAAATAAAAAAGTATACAACTTTGGCACAAAATGCCGGGTGTCCTTTGACTTTGACCTTCAATATCTCCATAACCATATATTTCCCAGATGTCGAAGCAGAATTTTTAATGCATGAATTTAAATAGTGGAGAGAAGTAGTTTGAAGAGCCACAGTCAAGTTCTCATGAAATACACCAAACTTAGTTGAGAGAACACAATTCACCCGGCTGGTCTTGCTAGTTTAATTTAGTGGACGTAACAGACTACCTTTAGCAAATATTAAAGCAGTGCATTTATTAAGACGAAAAATGTCATTAAAACCATCACGAAATTGTCAAGGCGTTTGTAATTTCGTCTTTCTTTTGTAAGTATAAAGATGAAAGTATTTGAAAAGAAAACGGGTTCTTTTTCACTTACTTTTAATATCTTTATACAAAAGAAAGACGAAATTTCACTCGTATATAAATACATACGAGTATATATGTACATATATATGAGTGATATGCCTTATGCACCGCCTAATGTTAGATTATTTAAGAAAAGAAGTTTCACTTCAGATAGGTACGTGGTCTGTGCACACATTTTTTTTTCACAACTTCAAAGGACCGTAAATCCTTAACGAGTTCTTTGGGTAAAGGTTATTGACATACAGATAGATAAACGGGTGTATTTTTTTAAGTTTTTTTTTTTTATTTCTTCGGAAAACTTACAGCTATTATTTATACATTGTATCTAATTTAATTAACTACTAGCCAGTAACAAGTTTCCACATATCAAAAAAATATATAGCTTATCAATTTCTGAAAGAAACTCATAAAGCTACGCTCGAGGAATCCACACTGATGCAAAATTTTTGAGTTAGTAATTTGTAAATAGTTCAGTAACCAGTGCTCGCTTCAACGCCGCAGTACTGCCATAAAATATACCCAGGTTCGCGTTATTACTTTATGAATTGAATAAGTGACAATAAGAGGAGCTCGATGGCGCAAGTGGTTAGCTCCTTCGGCTCGATCGTTGAAATTAAGCAACTTTCGCTGTGGTCAGTCATTGGATGGGTGACCGAAAAACTTCCTCCGTGCTTCGGAAGGCACGTTAAGCCGTTGGTCCCGGCTGCATCTGCAGTCGTTAGCACCCGCCAATCCGCATTGGGCCCGCGTGGTGGGTCATGTCTCAATTTCCCTATTCCATCCACAGGGAAGGCCTGTGCCCCAGCAGTGGGGACATTAATAGGCTGATGATGATGATGATGATGAAGTGACATGAACGTACAAGATAACTGTTTTGTCGATAATCCGTATGTACTAAGGGAATTTGCAATTTGAACTTCTTGCTACGAGTGGTGAAGCTTCGTGGCACAATATCTTTCACACGTTCCAACAAATCATTTGAGTCAATACTATCATTTAGAATTTTAAATAGATACATTAAATCGGCAATATGTAATTTGCGGTAAACGTTGCTGATGTCACAATTATACATATAATGTCATCATCATCATCATCAGCCTATTAATGTCCCCACTGCTGGGGCACAGGCCTTCCCTATGGATGGAATAGGGAGATTGGGCCATGACCCACCACGCGGGCCCAGTGCGGATTGGTTGGTGCTAACGACTGCAAATGCAGCCGGGACCAACGGCTTAACGTGCCTTCCGAAGCACGGAGGAGCTCGAGATAGTAAATTTTTGGTCACCCATCCAATGACCGACCACTGTGAAAGTTGCTTAACTTCAACGATCGCAGCCGAACGCGCTAGCTACCTGCGCCATCGAGCTCCTCATACGTATAATGTATTATGTACTAATTATCTAAAATGTATTGTGTCATTGTTTGTTTACCTTAATAAATTAAAAAAAAAAACTCTACGAACTTTTAGGGGACGTAAGTGGTGAATTGCACATCACTCTTTATATGAGCTGTCTTGAATCGATGTTTTAATTTCAAATATTTTAAAAACTTTTTTTGTACCATTTCCAAACGATTGATATAATGGGAGAAGCGCGGGTTCCAAACTCGAGAGTTATACTCCAAAACACTTCGTACAATATCTATATATAGAAAACTCAAAGGTGACTGACTGACATAGTGATCTATCAACGCACAGCCCAAACCACTGGACGGATCGGGCTGAAATTTGGCATGCAGGTAGATGTTATGACGTAGGCATCCGCTAAGAAAGGATTTTGATCAATTCTACCCCCAAGGGAAAAATAGGGAATGAAAGTTTGTATGAAACTTTGTTAATTTTAAACCGATCGGGCTGAGACTTTGCATGCAGGTATAAGAAGAATCATAGATGAATGTCATTGTGTATAATACAAGTCTGAGAACAAAAACTGTAGTCTACACTTCAGCTCTACACCGAAGCGAAGCGAGGGCGGGCCGCTAGTAACAATATAAGACCTTTATCGTCTTGATATTTTTAAATTGGGAACTGAGAAGTTTGATTTTTTCACACAGCGTCAAGGGACCGTAGATTTGAGTAAATATTTACTTACTAAACTATTTGGTTTAAATGACAATTCAATAATATCTCCACGCGTTCTCGAGATAAAAGGTCTTGACAGACAGACGAACAGCAATGTGATCTTATATGGGTTTTTTCCTATTGTGTTATATTTATTTATTTAGTAGTTATATTTTCTTTAGATATTCATCATTTTCGTAGAACACATAAAGAGGTTAGAAGAGCCTTGTGCCAGGCTGGCACCAGTTATGTGTGAAAAAATGTTCATAACTCGACCAAAACTTGGTTCTGATTGCGTCGTTGCTCTCGGGTGTAACCGCTGATTGGTTCGATTGTTTGTTGTCGCGTCGTTTGATTCGCTATTACTTATTAGGAGAAGTGTAGTGGGGTCGGTATCTCAGCTCTAGTTAGCCGTTGTCGTGGGTATTGTGTAAGCAAGAGGACAAAAAAGCGTGTGCGTCTCGGGACGCACAATAGAAGTGATAACTTATATGTATTTAGCACCAACGGGATAAAAAAAGTGTATTTTACCGAACGTAAACCTACCTAACATTTATAGTATCCATTAAAAGTAGATATTCATCATTCTCATAGAATACATAAAAATAAATTTCTATGAGTATTAAGTAAGCAACTTTTCTTTTAATTATTTACTGTTAATATTGAGCATAATCACGATAAGTGCTTAATTCCATACAGTTAACATGTTGTAACGTGATTGTGTGTGTGTGCGTGGAAATTACATTATATGTAAGTGGTAGCTCAATATTGTAACTATTACTTATTATCAATTGGGCATTAAACCGCTGTATGTTTTAAGTCTGGGGAGACACGGACAAAACGATTTTTTTATTTTGTTTTCTTTAGATTTGAACTTATGCTTTCTTAGAAAACTAGCACTAGTTAAAAATAGCTTAAGAAGGTTTATGTTTATTGCCAACCAAGGTATACTGTAACACATGTTTATATTTTAATAAAAAAAACATAGAGGTTAGGGCCTTGTGGGCGGCGCAGGCGCCAGTTATGTGTGAAAAAATGTTCATAACTTGACCAAAACTTGGTTCTGATTACGTCGTTGCTCTCGGGTGAAACCCTCTGATTGGCTCGTTTGTTTGATGTCGCGTCGTTTGAAATGAAATGAAATGAAATGAAAAGTCATTTATTCAGTCTAGGCTGTTATAAGCACTTGTGAAGGTCAAGAAGCTGCCCCATCGGTTCGCAAAACTACGGCAGGAGACCTTGTACTGAGGAGAACCGGCAAGAAACTCAGCAAGGGCTGCTTTTTTCTCCCTATACTTCTGAAGTCACCTTCCATTACATTATTTAGGATGTTATAATACAGTTACAATAAATTTTGTATTTAGTTTGTAGGAAGCGGCATTAGATAGGTACCATATTACTGTTACAAAAACTGACTCATACCCATCAAATAACAAATTACAAGAAACACTATGTCCATTTCGCATGTCCAGTTTGATTCGCTATTATCTATTAGGGGAAGTGTAATGAGGTCGAGCCGGCGACATCGGTTACCGTACAACCGGTATATGATAACCTTTCTAACCTCTTTTGTGTGTTCTGTGGATGAGACTTAGGAATTAAAAAAAAACATGACTTCGAAAACGTACCTTGAATATCTTAGTACTTGAAGATTATTACTGCTTTTGGTACAACCTGAAACAATTTACCGAAAATAATATTAATAAGCATTCCACAAGAGAAATCTTCAACGGAATAATAATTAGTTTTCAATAACTTTGAAGCGCTAGTTTGAAGTCTAGCTAAGTATCAAACTTGTTTATCTGAAATTCCCTAAATTACATTGTAAAGTTATCAAGTAGCTCAATGACGTAGTGATAGGCGTGTTTGGTGCTGCGATTGTAGAAGTTAAGCAACATTTGAAGAGGCCGATTACAGGTTGAGTGACCACAAATTTCTTCAGCTCATTCGTCTATGGGAAGATTCGTTAAGCAGTTGGCACCAGCTGCATCTGCAGTCGTTAACACTCACCAATTTGCATTGTCCCCGAATGATGGGTCATGGCACGGTCTCCTTATTCCATCTGTAGGCAAGGTGAGTGCCCCAGCAGTGGGGCAAAATACTACAAATCTAGATCAAAATAGACGCTGCTGGTTCTTGAAATTGTATTTTAAGCTGTAGTCGCAGCAACTTAAAAATAGTTTTTTGAAAAAAATGATAACAGAACACGAAAAGAGCTTAGAAGGGTGATCATACAACGTTTGTACGGGAACCAGTGTCGCCGGCTCGCCCCAATGACAGTTCCACCTAATAGATAAACAAACGACGCGACATCAAACAATAGAAGCAATCAGCGCTCACACCCAAGAGCAACGACGCAATCAGAACCAAGTTTTGGTCAAGTTATGAGCATTTGCTCATACATAACTGACGCGCCCACAAAGACCTTCTAACCTCTTTCTGTGTTCAATGAGAATAAAGAATGTCTACTTTTTATGGATTCTATAAACATTAGGTAGTAAATAACGTGAAATCGTTTTCTAAATCTTTTCAACAAACTTCGGTAAATACACTTCTTAATCCCCTTGGTGCTGAATCTACTAATAATATTTAAATTTATCATTAAACTAATTGAAGAGGCTCCGTTCCCTACACACGGTTTTAAAATAGGTACTAGAAACTGCCAGTAACTTCGACCGCGTTAACTTTTTTTTTTAAATTCTTAATAAACTTAACGCTTTTCCGGGTTAAAAGCATCGCATGTCTCTTTCCAGGTTAACAGTAGTCTGTGCATACAAATCTGATCAGCTGTTTTTGCGATGATTCAGTAACAAACATCAAACTTACAAACTTTAGGAAGTAGGATAGGAAAATAAAAAAAACTGAAATACAAATGATATTTTCTCACCTATCTACCGTCAAAATTGCAGCAAAAATGCATTAATGCAAACCGGGGTTTGAACCCAGGATCCTTGGCACAGAACTTATAACCGCAACCATTAGTTAAACTATGTTATTTCTAAAGATTTTCAATGTGGCTCCCTATACAAATTCAACTACAGATTTCGTGGACTATAATTATCTATTGTTTTATTAGATTGAATATGGATTATATTTGTAGTTGATGGAAAATCATATTTACAGGTTGGTAAGCACGTGCCTCGATAGTCTACATATTATTAAATTAGCATTGAAACTCGCCAGCCTAACGTTGATTCAATTTAATACGCCACCACCACATATGAAAGCGTCTGTCTGTAGCCCGTCATTTGTTTTATCTTTGAAACGTTTAATTCATCAATGACAATTCACTTATTTATCGGACACATCTATCGACCCACTTAAGTTTCAAAGGTCTAAAGCAAAAATATATGTTAGGTTGAGCAATATTATCAGCTACAGAACTGCGTATAACCTTTATCTCGAAGTAACTTTTTTTTTAGCTAGGGACCGTCAAATCAAACCTTTTAATGCTAGGTGGACAGACAGATGTGTCTGGAACTTAGATTAAAACAAAAAGGGAAGATACATAAAATATGCTCCGACTCAACTACATAAGCAACTCTCACACACGCACACGTCTGTAAAGAAACATTCAATCGAGCGAGCGAGACAGAACTATACGCTTCAACGCAGCGCGAGCGAAACGGCGTGGCGAGTCCGCGTCAGAGTCCTTGAGCTCTATTTTTGAATCACTCGTCTGACATAGTATCGTCGAATGCGACAAAAGTCACCTTCGACTTTCAAGTCGCATAATACTGATTTTCCGTATTTTTGAATCATTCGTCACCGGTGTTACCTGTTTAATACTAAATGTAAATTTTTTCTCATTTCACGCAGAAATAATAAAAACCGGTAATTACCGCAATGAAAACCGAACAAAAATTCTCGTTGTCGTTTCATATAAAGCGTGACAATAATAGATCATCGTCGTCTAAAAGCGCAAAAAATTTGACAATTATTCTATCATTCCCCTCCGCCATTCGACATACAGCGAGTGGTCACACCCATTCGTTGCACTCGAGCGATTCAAAAATACGGAATTAATTATGTCGAATGAAATTTAGTAGAAATCGAGCATTCGACGCAAGACGAGTGATTCAAAAATAGAGCTCCTTACCGCTGTCCGCTGAGTGTTGTCCTTTTCTTGATAACAAAATGGCAATTACGAAATAACATTCACGGCAAACTTTTTGAGAAAAAAAAATGTTTTTACAGTTTTACGAATGCAAAGTGTTTGCCGAGGCATTTGATTTTTAACTATTTGTGTTGTTTATAAAAGCATCGAAGGCATTGTTTTATCTTTATAAATAACACATAATATACGCAATATCGTTATATTTAGTGCAAGGTCTGGAAGTATATTTAATTTTTAGGCTAGACTTTTTAAAAAAGGAATATTTAATGCCATAATAGCGAAATGGCCTGAAGGCTCGGCTGAGAAAATCAGCTTCATTTTTTTACAATCGAATTAAGTATATTCCTAATAGATATTAATGCATTAATGTGTTAAATAAATCATACTAACGACTGTTGTTAATAATCATTTTTTTTTATTTAAAGCATTTTTTCGGATAGATTAATAAGATTTATTATAATAAATTAATAAATTAAATCTAAAGATTTTCATGAAAATGGATGCGTGATGAGAGGTCACAAAGTAGGTAATCATCCCAAGTCCTCAAATTTTGATCGAATTAAATAATTCACGCGTGGGCATAATCTAAAGGAAAGCTCAGACTGTACCTTTAGCACAAACCAATCTCGATTCGAATAGTTTACGAGTGCGAATTTGTCAAATTTTGTATGGAAACTTGAACAGCAGCGCCACAACGAACGTAACAATAACTAAAAAACAGTATCTACACATTTGACAATGACATTTCGCACTCGCAAACTATTCGAATTTGATATAGGTTTTTGCTAAGGGTACTGTACCCCTAGAATTAACCATTATCGAATTCAAATAGTTTGCGAGGGAGAAATGTCAATGTCAAATTTTGCACGAAACTTGAAGAGCAGCGCCATAAAGTATGTTACGAGAACTAAAAATAGGTACACATTTGACAGTGTCATTTCACACTCGCAAACTATTCGAATTCGATATTGGTTCGTGCTAAGAGTATTGTTCTAGAGGTTCCCTGGTCTAGAGCGTGCTAGAAAATCGATTAGTCGAGAGCGTTAAAGATTACTCACCCTCAGCGATGCTCACTGGCGGCTTAACATTTGCATTTTTTCTCAGGACTGTCACCACGAGCAAGTGATGCGAGTAACTGCCCGTCGTACACGCAAACTCGCTTCCAGCCCTGCGATAAAACTATCGAAACTAGCATATTCTACTCGCTTCTTGTTAGAGGTGGGTCACAAAAGTGCCATATGTGTGTAGTACACACAGAACACAGAAAGAGGTTAAAAGGGTGATCATAGACCGTTTGTACAAGAACCGATATGGCCGACTCGCCCCTACTACATTTCCACCTAATAGATAATCCAATCAAATGACGCGACAGCAAACAATCGAACCAATCCCAAGTACCCTTAGCACGAACCAAGAATGAAATTGTATCGTTTGCGAGTCCGAAATGTCATTGTCAAAAGTGTACTGATTTTTAGTTCTCGTTACGTACTTTGTGCCGCTGCTGTTCAAGTTTTCATACAAAATTTGACATTGACATTTCGGTTTGCAAACTATTCGAATTCGATAATGGTTCGTGCTAGGGGTACAGAGCTCACACCCGGCAGCAACGACGTAATCAGAACCAAGTTTTGGTCAAGTTATGAGTATTTGCTCGGATTGGTGGAGCTAATAATTGCAGATGCAGCCAGGACCCACGGCTTAACGTGCCTTCCGGAAATTCGAGGAGCTCGAGATAGTAAATTTTTGGTCACCCATCCGATGACCAACCACTGCGAAAGTTTCTTAACTTCAACGATCGAAGCTGAACGCGCTATCTACCTGCACTATCGAGCTCTTCCTAGCAAATACTATTTTCATTTCTGAGCACACCAATATTGATCTTTTCCAAGCTCTACAATGACTATGTTTCAACGGACCTATACTAAAAGAAACTAATAAAATAGATTGCTCAAATTGGCCCAAACGCACAAAAAATATTGACATACACAATTTACAGTCATTAGATTTCAACGGACAGCTTTGTATAATATATTTACTTTAAAAAGGACTTTAAATTTTACCGGTTTGGAAAACATACTAATCATTTTTAATGGCTATGGGTGCAGTAACATTCAGCCAAAGACTGATCGAAGTTGTTTATATAACATAAAAACAAATCTATTTTGTAAAGATCGATAAAATAAACCATTTTTTTATTACACTGTGGTATTAATATCCACAACTATATTATCATTTTCACTAGATGCAAATGTGCTCAGACAATTATTATAGACGGTAGGCGACATCATAAAGTCTATTGCCATACATTTTTCGCCAAACACCTCCATAAACACATAATCTGTATATATGTTAGACTTTAAGGTATCTATTTATGGGCCTACGTTCCCTGACTATAAATTAATAAATAAATAAAATTATAAGGTGTGGTACACTAAAAATCTAAAATAATTATGGTTATCTTAAAAACATAACAAAAATAATGAAGCTACTGAATATATGGCTATAGAACCTAAATCTCTTAGCTTTCTTTGGTTAACGAGACTTTAAAAATTCTTTCTA